CTGCCTGCTGGATGAGAGAGGCTGTTTCAAGCTTCCCCATTATAGCCTATGAGCGAAAGTCAAAACAGTGTCACTGTTTTGACGAAATGAAACGGAACAGCAGTTTCAAATTGAAACGAAACACTGCGCCATCAAAACGCCAAATCGCAAGTCGAAACAAAATGGTGCTGTTTCACACAGCCCTAATGGCCACCCCTGCCCTACAGGAAGTGTAGCCAGTCTAGTTTAGAACCAACATTGTCTTCTGCAATAAATCAGGCGGTGATTTTCCAGGAAACAGCTTCCTTCACTATTTTCCAGAGCACAATCCATCCTCTACACTGAATGAGACAAAGAGCTTGTGTACAGCGGTATGTGGTCACATCATTAAAGACTGTGTCATACAATGCTTTGCAGTATAAGTGAGCCAATCAGAGGTTGAATAGGAAACTTTTTCTCAGGTATTTTTGTACTCTTGAGTGCTTCAGTTTTTTCTCAGCTGCAGGGATTTTAGCTTCAGCCAGAATGAGGAGACTTGCCTTAGCTTTGCTGCTGCCATCTCCTGCTTCCGTGAAGAACTACTACCCACTCCTCCAGTATGTGACCAACAGAACATAAAGCACCATCCTCACATGCATCCTAAACCACAGCTCCTCCTACCATTCCTCTTTCAGGTTCTGCTCCCCAACCAATTTGGAGATTGTTTCCAGTTCTGGTGACTCCCCAGAGTGCCTGAGTAGAAAATTAGGTTTTCTTGGAAAAAAGGTTAGGTGAATGAAGATGAAGGTGTGCCCTCTGCCCAGACACTCAGTGTTGATAGCAAAGAATTGGTAGCAAACTCCCAGCAGAGTTTCTCTCTTGTCTGGAGCTCTAGGTCAACAGCTTGTCTGCTCCTTCCCTGGTTCACCACCAGCAGTGCTAGCTGTAAACTCGCTGCATTCTTATGGCTTCAGGTGACAGGGCATATAGTAACACAAGACTAATGGCTAGTCTACAGAGCCTGTGCTGCTGTGCTCCCTCTCTGTGCACACTGACTCCCCAAAATGAAACAATGTAGGCACCTTGGAGCAGCCCTGAGCCTACACCAAGCCCCACCCTTGACCTGTTTCTTTTGGGCTGACTGGCAGACACACAGCCCTGCTCTTAAAGTGGATGAAATGTCTTATTTCCATATCTGGCCCTTGGGGAGCAGAAGCAAGGGAGCAGAGTGTAATTCTCAGCAGTACTCCCAGGTGCAGCATGGATGCAAAGTGGGCTTGCCCAAAATGATACAGACTTCAAGTAAAAGCTGTGAAGCTTCCTTTTGGTTCAATAACATGACGTACTGCAAATGATCCAGATAAATCTGCACTGCTGCAAATGACTATGAAGCCCAGCATTGCTGTTTCTCATCCAGAAGACTGTATTGCCTTATTACAACCTACAAGCGTAAGATATTAATTCATTTTCTGTTTAAGATCTCATATAAAATGAATGGGAAAGGAAGAGAGAAAGATGTGCTAGTTAACCAGCAATTCCTCCTCAGTGGGAGGATACAAAAATTGAAGGCAGAGATAATATTACGTCCCTTGGGCATTTGAAGCTTGGTGGTATGGAACACATGCCTTTGATAATCAGCATCAGTATCTCTTTCATGTCAGTGAGCAGAAAATAGGGCCTCTTCAAAGAAACTAATTCAGAAAAGAAATTGCTAAACAGGCCTGACTGGGCTGAGTAATGCTGGAAATTAAGAACCCTGAAGGGGCAGAATTAGAGCGGAGGTCAGGACTTCCAGGCGGGGCAGGGGAATAAATTAATAGGCCTCTGTGCTGCATCTGAAGTTTTGATGATTGTCATAGAATACCCATGTCTCTCCCTTTCTCTCACCCCATATGCTTCCCTGATGATTAGAGTTCTGCCGCCTTGTCAGAAAACAGCATGAATTAGTTGGTGGCCAGAAGCTTATTAGCCTAAGCTTTTGAACAGCTTCAGAGCTTCAATTACACAACCTCACTGATTTTTTTTTCATCCTGACTTTTCCTTAATGTTAATCCACTATCAGATATTTGTCCTTTATCTGGGACACCAGGGCATCCAGCAAATATATATGACAGAATGAGGCTTTGTTCTTTTGCCATTATAAATTTGCTTTAGTGTGTGCACTGCAAATAAGGAATTATTTTTTAACAATTCATGGTTTTCTCTGTTTTTACCTTTCTGGAACAAGTAACCTGCTGTTCCACATGTCGCATCATTTAGAAAACTGCTGATGGTTTTCATCTGGGATTTTCAACTGCGGTCCCAATAGCAGAATGTGTTTTCACTTAGGCATCTTTGGCAATCAGAGTCTTTATGGCTATAAGCACAAGTTGCTCAAAAGTTTCTAGGAAGTGACAGATCTTAAAAAGAGGGCTCCACAAGTTGCTGGTAGTAAAGGACAATCCTAACAAGACCTTCTGTTTAGGTGACACAGATTATGGCCATTTAGGCCTACATATGCAATTTAAGACTGTGTTTAGGGAACCACAGCCTAGTTTCTTTCTAGTGTAAGCATGTTTGGAATACATTGCAACTTTTCTCCTTAAACTGGGCCTAGACTATAAACCAACCAACACAGGTAACAGCACCCTCAGACTCCTGGCCCTGCTCTATGCATGTAGCCTCCAAGGGTGTGTCTACACATTCCTTAATGCACCGTAATTACAGCATATTAAGTTTAGTACTTATAATAACAGGTACTAACTTAATGCACTGTAATTGGTGCTACTGTGCAGTAGCACCAGCACACACTTTTTTTACGCTAGTGAGCAGTAGACTAATCCTATTGCGCATTAGCATAGTTTTTGCCTGCTGTGTTAATGTGCAGTAGAATTAGTCTACTGCACATTTAGGGTCTTGTGCAGACGCGCCCCAAGCCTTGAAGCACTGAGTGGGCTAATTAGCACTGGTGGGGAACAGTGACAATCTGCTTTTGGTGTTGCATAGAGGTGATTACACTGCTTCCAAGACACATGTAGCCTGTGTTCAGCACCACAACATGTTAGAGCAGGGGCAGGTAATTATTTCAGGTGGAGGGCCGCTTACCCAGGTTTGGCAAGCTGTGGAGGGCCGCATGGGTAGCCCCACCCCTTGACAGGTGCCTCACCCCCTGGTCACCATCTTGGGACCAATGTCTCAGGGCCAGCACCAGCGGGGCCCGGAGCAGGGTGCAGGCTGGCAGGGGTCTGTGGAGCCGGGTTGGACTTCACCAGCAAGGAGAGGGGGGAACTGGCAAGGGAGCAGCTGCTGGCCGGGACCCTGTACCCCTGCCACCCTGCTCTAGGCCCTGCTGGTGCTGGCCCTGGGACACTGGTGCGGGCCCCATGCTCCTGTGCCCACTAACTCCTAGTGCCCCCCCAGCCCCGCGGTACAGGCCGGGGTAGCGCACAGCCCCAACCCCCTGCTCACTAGCAGGAAAGGAGCTGGTGCAGAGCACGTGGAAAAGTGGCCCCTCCTCCGCCCCGTGGCTGGTGCTCCCTGCTGCAGCCACTCGCAGCCAGCATGGGGCTGTCCTGAGCAGGCACAGGCAGCCCCATGTGGGCTGCGAGTATCTACAGCACGGAGCACAGGCAATGGGATGGGCAGCCTACCGTAGCGCGAACTCCACGTGGACAGTAGCAGCCAACACTGCTTGACGCAGCAAGCAGGGGGGCCACAGTGGCTGCCGTCGCAGGACAGCCCTGACGGGTGAGCCTGGAGCCAGCGCGGGGCCCAGGCTGGCAGTGGGGGCGGGTTATAAGCTGGTGCTGAGCAGGAGAAAAGCAGCCCCTTGCCTGCCTTGTGGCTGGTGCTGTGCGGGGCTGTCCTGAGCAGGCACAGGCAGCCCCATAAGGGCTGCAAGTGGCTGCAGCATGGGGCACCAGCCACGGGGTGGAGGAGAGGCCACTTTTGCCCATGCTCCGCACCAGCTCCTTCCCTGCCCTCCCCCCACCCTTACCTGAGGTTCGGGTGCCAGGGCAGCCACATGGTCCCAGGCCAGAAGCCGCTGCTGGGCCTTCCAGCTGTGGGGGCAGGGCCAGGTGGACCCTGCTGTTGCAGGAGCCCGCTGAGGATTCCCCTGGGTCCTACTGCTCCTGGTTCCTGTCATTTTTCACAGGAACCAAGGACATAAATTTTAATTAAAAAAAAATTTTTAAGGGCCCTGCAGGCCAGATGGAATGGACATGTGGGCTGGATGCGGCCCGAGGGCCATATTTTTCCCACCCCTGTGTTAGAGGGTGTTTTTCTCTGGAACAGCACATCTGTGGTCTAGGCATGGTCATTGACTATATAAAACAATTCAGTCCTATTTTTGCTACCCAAAAAAACTTCTATCACTTCGCTAGGAAGAACAACATTTAAACACAGTTCTGGCTTAATATACTTTGGGCTCTAGCATGGGCAAATTCTAAAAAACATTCTGTCCTCTGTGGATATCTGGGTATAATCTTCTTTAAGTGATCCTCGAGCACTTCCTATCTTGATAAAGAGAAGTGAAAACACCTGAAAGCAATTTTTTAGAAAGTATTTCATCTACCATTAAACTCAAAATTCTCACTGGCATCCATTAAGCTTTGTTACAAGGAAAATCTTAAGACCACAAGCAGGCATGCCTTAGCATAAAATGAGTGAGGTTCCTGAAGAAGTAGAACACAAATCATGCCAGGCAGGTTCCTTTCAATGCAGTGCAAAAATACTGTACATATAAAATGAATCCATTTCTGTGCTCAGACTTAGGGAGTTCTGGGGGGACTTAGAAGAGAATGAATCCTTATCCCAAGCTTCACTATTCTATGATTTCTAACTGCAGCTCCTGGAGGATCTGCATGGCCCTACTCTCCTCACCCCAAGTTTTCCTGTACTGGGAAGTCTGCTCTCAAGCACAGTTCTAAGACATCTAAAGATGTGCGAAACCTCTTCATTGTCACCCCTCCACCAGAACCTTAAGCTTCATGAGCCTTTTGCACAGAGTGCAGTTCAGTTCATAGCTAAATGAGTAATAATGTATTATGACTGTTTTACAGATGGGGAAACTGAGGCATAATACCCAAGGCAACACAGAAAAATCACTAAGAGAACCAAGACCATAACCACCCTGATGGTAAGTCAACACCACTTTAAACATTAGAACTTGTTCCCCATCACAAAGCTCAGAAGACTTCTCAGTGAAATCTGGATTTTTTTTTAAACTCTGCTTAATGGATGTTCTTCGTTATACATATATGTAATACTTTATTAAGTCCCCCTAAACTCTCAGCCTTGGTCATCTATTGGAGCCAAGGGCTCAACAGGTTCTTACTGTAGAAACAGATCAGTTTTCTTTCTAAATAAGGGCAAAAAAATATGTGTAGTAAAAAACTTCTTAGATATTTCTTTTCAAGCTTATATGTAATGGATGAAATTCAACCCTGTGCCAAGGAACAGCACAAGACATATGTCTTGGTTTAAGGGTTTATGTGGAGATTAACAGGTACAGAAGCTTTGTGCTAGGTTTCTTCAAATTAGTAAGTTTCAAACAGAATGAACTATTACTCTTATTCATTTTCTTACATAAAAGACATATTTAGGAGCCAGAAGAGCTATTAGGGAATGGGAGTCTGATGAGCCACCTGCCTTTTCTCTGTCCTCTCTTCTGGCTCTAGAAGGTGACACTGGTGCAGCTGTGTTCATTGTTAGAATCCACTAGATCACTTAAATCACTAGCTATGTCAAATCTCAAATGATAAAGAGCCACATATATTAATCTGCTGGCACAGTAAACTGAGTTCTAGCAATTCTTATGGGAAAGAGGCTTAAAGAAGTCAGCATGTTGGGTGAACTAGAATATGCAGATACATCAGCAAACATTTTCATATTATTGTTCTCATTTTTATATCTGCAGGTAGATCAAAGTGGTTTTAAAATAAAAATAACAGTTCTGAACTGTTCTTCCCTTCAGGGTTCACTTGTTTCCATAAACAATACCTATTGTGTGATTAATTCATTTCTACTGACAGGTCCGAATAAACATGCAGACAGCACAGATATTTCCATTGGCTTATGATGACATCTTGTCATGCTTCTTGTATTGTCATTTGTCATTCTACCTTGAACAAGAACAGCAAATGTGGCTTTCCCTTTAGTCTTCCCACCCATTTCTCCCTGAGGGAGGAAGGAAAAAAAAAGAACACTTGAGTAACAGCACTTCTGTTGATTGCAGAGCCTCATGCAGTCCAGAATCTTTCATCTTTTGATCAAAAGCACAGCACTTTTGTTTAACGCACAGCTTAGCGGTGATAGCACTTTGCCGTATAGACACTACAATGGAAGCTGTGACCTCCCAGTAGAGAAGATCTAGCATTGGGGGATTGCTATAGGCAGTGCTAAACTGGCTACAGATCCTTGATGCTACTGACATGTTTGCAAGCCAAACAGTTGTCGGAAATCATCCGTTTCCAACTACCAGTGACCTTTAAAAATATATAAAAATACCTACTCTCCTAAGATATAACGGGCTGATGGATGTTGCACTCCGATTTCTCAAACAGTCATTATGATTCACAAGCAGGAGATGTCAGGCATTACTAATATTTTTGTACACATATAATCAGAAGAACCAGTGCCAATAGAGCAGATACAGCGCAGCTTTTATATGAAGATGGATTACAACAGTTTACACAAACTAAGGACTTGGTCCAGAAGAATCAGGCCCTCTCTATATTATAGTTGCTACAGCAAGAAAGCTGTTTTTTAAAAGTTTCTTCTAAGAGAAATGTGCAAGCCTCATATAAAAGGCATTCCCTATTCACATCAAGCTATTCAATCTTATTGTCATGATTTTTAAAACTGAACTTCAAAATGAAAATATGGCATAGATGTGGCAATATTAGGTGACATTACATTATATTCTTAGGTATAAGTGTATAACCAGTTGTCTGGGATAGTTTAGGAACAGTAGCCTCCATCTGTATGTAGGTTTGGACTCAAAGAGAGTTGAGATCGTTTCCAACCCTATGATTCTATATAAATGTCAGGGCACGTTAGCAGAGTAGCCCGCTGTAGTCAAACACTGCCCTTAATGCCTTGTAAGGTTCCATTTTACAGAGGACAACATTTGGTGAGTTAGTACAACCTCAGCTTGGTTGAACCTGCCTGTATGCTATTATACAGCCAACAGGGATTTCAGGGTAAGGGAACTGTAGAAAGTTTGTGCTGTAGTAAAAACCAGAATCATGGTTTTTACTACAGCACGAGGCAGTAAGGCTGGGTAGTGCCTACAGAACTCTGCAATCTGAGAAAAAAAGATTTCTTCTCTTCTCACCTCTTCTCATCTCACCAATAACTGTTCCAAGTGGTGGGGTGGGGTGGGGCAGGGAGGGCCATGGTATGAGCTGTTTATTCAGGAAAAGCACCTGGTAGTAAGATTATGGGTATTTGTTTCTTTAGAGGGTGGGCAGGGGATATTAAGCAGCAATCCAGATGTAGAGGAGCAGATGGAAGGCCAGGTTCACAACCCTGCCTTGCTTCCTTGAGGGGCACAGTTAAGGTGCCTTGGTACAGATGAAGAGATACAGGTTTGAGCCTCACTTAGGACTTGTACCAAATACCACCCCCAAATGACCCAAGTGTAAAGGGATACACATGGTCATTTTAGCTGGGCACTCAAAGGCAGTCACACAATACTAACTACATCAATCCCCTGTGTACCAAAATCCCATTTGCTTTAAGATCACTAACCTAACTGGCTGCTAGCCTTAGAATGGACCTTTGACCTTGACCTCTCCTTCCTTGGCATTCCTCAGCCAGCACAAAGAGAGTTGAAAACTCCCTATGAATCCTATGCTTATGTTACCTTCAGCATATGAAATCCCACACCACTATCTCCACTGATCCTGCAGGAAGGAGCAGGAGGGGGAGGAAGGGGCAGAAGGAGGCAAAGCAAAATTCTGTTGCACTCCTCATCTGGTGTTTAGACCCAAGGGGACACCATCTCAGCTGGGGATGGTTTAGAATTGTGGAACCTGGAATCAGCAGAGAGAATGGCCCTGTGCACTTAAAAGACTGGGGCAGGTTAGAAAATTTACAGAGGTAACGTTCTTCAAATATGTCCCTATATATCATAAAATGTTCCTGTTAAACTTTACCGAATAGGGGACAATGTTGACAGGTGGCAATAACAGGTGGCTTAACTGTGAGACAGTTAGGTGGGTAGGAAGCTGGTTGTGGGGTAGGATCCAGAGAGTTCTAATGAATGGATCTGTGTCATCCTGGCACGAAGTAGCCAGTGGTATCCCTCAAGGGTTGGTACCTGGTCCAGTGCTTTTCAACATCTTTATCAATGATTTGGATGTGGGGGTGAAGAGCTAATTGGCCAAGTCTGTGAAGAACACCAAGTTATGGGGAAGCATGATCACACTTGAAGATAGGCTACAGCTACAGGTGGACCTAGACAGGCTAGCAAGTTGGGCAGATTGGAACCAGATTAAGTTCAATATCGAGAAATATAAACCGTTCCACATGGGGACAAACAATCCCCTACACACCTACAGGCTTGGCAGCGCCAAACTGACCAGCACCACGAATGAAAGGGACGTGGGGGTAATAATAGACCATAGTATGAATTATGAGCCGGCAGGGCAACACTGTAGCCAGCAGAGCAAATAATACTCTGGCATGCATCAATCGATGTATCTCCAGCAAAACCAAGGCAGTGATTCTTCCGCTCTGCTCAGTGCTGGTGAAACCATAGCTGGAGTACTGCATCCAGTTCTGGGCGCCACACTTCAACAAGGACATGATAAAATTCAAGAGAGTCCAGAGAAGGGCCACCCGTATGATCAGAGACTTACACGTCAAGCCATACAAGGAAAGGCTGAGGGACCTGGGGCTCTTCAGCTTGAAAAAGAGAAGGCTGAGAAGGGACGTGATAACAGCTTACCGCTACATCAGGGGAGTACATCAAGGGCTCGGTGAACAACTGTTCACCAGGGCACCCCTTGGTAAAAAACAGGAGTAATGGCCACAAACTCCTGGAAGACCATCTCAGGCTCAACATTAGGAAAAACGTCTTCACAGTTAGGGTGTTCAGACTGCGGAATAGGGTCCCTCCAGAGGTGGTGCAATCACCTACCCTGGAGGTCTTCAAGAGGAGACTGGATGGTCACCTCACTGGGGTCACCTGGGGTTGTCTTTCCTACCTGGTACAGGGGAGCTGGACCCGATGATCTTCTGAGGTCCCTTCCAACCTTACAATTGATGAATCTATGAATAAGAATCTATCCATTCATAGATTCATAGGTTGGAAGAGTTAGAAGGGAACTTGCAACATCATCTGATCTAGCCCCCCTGCACTAGGCAGGAAAGACAACTTCCTCATTCCTCCATGAGGACGTTTGTTAGACAGTAAATTTTATATATATCTCCTATTTTGCATTCATTTATCTGACAGACTGCAAAATGGTAGTGTGCAAACGGTTAAATAATTGCCATGCTTCTGAAATCACAATCCCACCTGCTGTCTATCATGATCTGTGGATCAAGCATCACCACCAAACCACAGCACTCTGGCTGCATCTGGACAATGAGACCTACAGAGTGATTGTGCATACAGCTCCATATAAACAAATCACACACCATTTTTTCGAGTATTCTTCTGAGATTGCCTGAATGTGTAACACTTGTTTAACAACAGTGGAATCCCAGGACTAGCCTTTTGCGGGGAATGGGCTTCCCTCCCCCAGTGCTAACTATCCCTTCTGCCAAAGCGCACACACACACACATATGAAATAGCTCAAGCCTTACAAAGAACTAGAGCCATCCAGCCTAGACCTCAAGGGCAAATTAGCACTGAAAAGAAATGCTAAAGGGTCCGGAGATAAATCTGACAATGTAGCCTCCATGTGGGATTTGGTGCCCCAGTCTCTGCTCATCCTTAGATGTTATTGCCTCTTCAAGTGGGATGAGCATCAGCACAGGGGGTGGTAGA